CTTTTATCTTGGTGATGCATTTTCTCCAAAGGGAATGTAACTGAAATTCAACTCAGGTTAACAGTCTCAAAAATTTGGACTGAAGAAATTGACATATTGACTTAGGGTTTTAGGCTGAGGAAACATAGTGGATTAAACAAAAGCTTTATGAAGTTTTTCTTTTAAAAAAAAGGTAAGTTCCTTTATTTTCAAGAATAATTGCAGGCAATAAGTGCATTGCTACCTGTAGAGAAGTAAAACTACTTAAATGTCTTTTCAGTGTGTGTGTAGTTTTGTGTATATTATACAATTACAATATGATTGTACTGATTGACTGAATAAACAACTGAGAATCAATAGTGTATGATTCCCTTTGCATTTTTAGTATAAACACTAATGGTTGCTAAATAAATGCAAAATGTTAGGAGCAAAATTCTTACCAGAAGACTCTATTTACATTGTCTAAAATACTAAACTATTTTGGTGGAATATTGTGTAGTTGTAGTGCCTAATTAAAATTAGCTGTTAGCCATTTTATTGTTTCTGTGTCTAGATTGTATTTAAATTCTTCATTCTTTTGAACAAAATAGGTGAGACAAAAGCTTTTCATAAAACTATCAACAACAGAAAATTCAAGTTGTGTTTGTTTTACCTTTCCCTGGTGTTATTAGTAGAAGCTATGAAATCCTTTAAAAATTCTATTTCCCCCAAAATTATTGTGATTGTTTCTCCAGGTTTTATAGAGTTAATTTTCACAGAAAAAGCACCAATTTCTGCAAATACCAAATTTCTGTGCATGCTATGGCCATACACTACTCAACATTAAAGTGCTGATTTCTTGCTAAAGTTATTTGTATCTGCAAGCATAGATTGAATTCAGTATAATTTTAAAATCTCTCATCTTAGAGGTTATGTGCTAAATTTCAGCCCTATACAAATTAAAAAAAAAAAAAGTCTTCCCTTTTTCTCTTTGAATATTACTCGATGTAAAACAGTCACTGAACGAACTGTTTGGAAGTAAAATGTAAGGTAAGAAACAAATCTTAGAGGTTATGTGCTAAATTTCAGCCCTGTACAAATTAAAAAAAAATGTCTTCCCTTTTTCTCTTTGAATACTACTCAATGTAAAACAGTCACTGAATGAACTGTTTGGAAGTAAAATGTACGGTAAGAAACACAGGAGGATGACTTCAGCCTACCTTAGGCACTTCTGTCTCAGAAATAAATCAGGGTTACCTTGAGTTGTTGGTGAATTAGCATCCTACAACTGCACATGGTATTGGAAGTAAAATGTAAGGTAAGAAACAAAGGAGGATGACTTCAGCCTACCTTAGGCACTTCTGTCTCAGAAATAAATCAGGGTTACCTTGAGTTGTTGAGCATCCTACAACTCATTCACCTCAACAACATCATCGTTGAGGTGAATGAGCATCCTACAACTGCACATGGTGGCAAGACAGGAAAGCTTTGTCCCCACCTTGATCAAGTAGGTGTTAGGGTCAGGGTTATTCCCACCCTAAGCATCCTACAACTGCACATGGTGGCAAGACAGGAAAGCTTTGTCCCCACCTTGATCAAGTAGGTGTTAGGGTCAGGGTTATTCCCACCTGTAGGTATGGATGAGCTTCTGGTACTTTGAAGGGATGCTTTGCTGACTTACTGTTATGATCAAGGGGGTGCTTCATTGCTTTGGTTTGGTCCAGGTTTATCAGGAGCTCCTGAGTTACTGAGGGGTGGTGTGGGACAGGAAGGGAGAGTATGCACAACTACAGCTTATTATCTGCAGTGCAGTCCTCTAGCACATCACAGACTGGGCTGCACAGCTCCTCCGTTTTGCTCAGGACCATGACTTTTGTTGGAATGTCCTTGTCAGACTGTTTCTAATCACTATTGTAATCTTTAGTTAGTGCAGAATTTTTCTTTGTGGCAACTAGCTTACCTCACCAATCCTTGGATGCTCTCATAAAAAATTTTTTCATCTCAAGAAAGAGTTAAGTGCTATTATAGATTATGTTTTCAGATAGATAGACCTTTTATTCATTTAAAGAATAGAAGCATGTATACCTTCATTATGAAAAATTGAATCATCGATCACTGCTGTGGAGACCCTGGCGGGTCATTCCCTGGTTTTGGGACACACAAGAAGCTTCCCTCAAAAAACTTTTAGACTGCATTGGCTCCTTCCCCAGTTCCTATGTCTGTTCCTATGTCCCTGAGCCACTCCTCCCTATTCCCTGATTGGCCCTTATTTTGCATGCCCTGAGACCAGGGTCAGCCCCCAGGCCCCTTGGCTTCCTATGTCCCTGAGCCACTCCTCCCTATTCCCTGATTGGCCCTTATTTTGCACTGCCCTGAGAGCAGGGTCAGCCCCCAGGCCCCTTGGTAGACAGAAGCTGAGACCCTCTGTGTGTGGGTTGAGACTCGATCATCTCACCATGTGGCTGAATAAAACATCTGTGGATATCATGCAAAGGTCCTTTTTGCTTCCTTACTCTGGACTTTACTAGCAATAATTCTGGCTTGCAACACACTTCCAAGTGAGTAAAATATTCTTTGTAATGGAACTTATCAAAAAGCCATGTTAGGATACACTAATTTGTTAATGTTGTTAAAAAAATACTAATTGATAAATACTTATTTTACACTCTTCCTCCCCTATTTGTCACTAGAAGTAATCTAAAGAGCATTCTCTTCCTCGTATGTCTTCATTATAGGTGAGTATAGGAGAAACTGGTACTGAACTTCTGGAAACTTGGCCCCTGATTTCTCATACTTACCAATAGTGCTCTTTTCAGAATGAAAGAATTGCCAGGAGAATTGAATTTTGCAGATAAAAGATATTAACAAAAGTTGCATGTGGTAGCATTGCATTTTGAAGTTAGTTATTTCCTCAGTTATTAAAGATTCCAGATATTTTTAATTTTTTTGTTGTTGTTGTTGTTAGATGCTTAATTTTTCTTATGGTGGTATTCTAGTTCAAAAATATTCAAACAGAGTTACTCAGCTCTGAAGAGAATCTTGAGATGTCAAGTTATGTACATAAATTTTATATGAGTCCTCCCAGGTAGGGATATCTATTCTATTCTATTCTATTCTATTCTATTCTATTCTATTCTATTCTATTCTATTCTATTCTATTCTATTCATCATATAAGACATACTATTTCTTGATCAGTTATTTTTCTAATTTCATCTGCAACTTGTCTCCACTAGAGATAGTTACAACCTATATCCATTTGTATATGTTTTGTTTCCATCTAATGACCAAGGGTTTGATTTTCCATGGTATTTATTAAAAGAAAATATTGTTTTTCATTAAGGTTCTGTTAATATAATAAGACCAAAATTCACATCTACCAATAGCCTTCCAAAAGATCTAATTTATCTGTCTTTGTGAAGCTGCCTTTTCTGATAATTTCTAGTCAGTTGCCTTCAGACTCTTCAGTTAAGGTCTGCTACTTGCCTCACAAACTAATATTGGGTTTTTATGTTTTTTAAACTTCTACGTGTTGACCTATAACTTTTAATTCAAATTATTTTAGTTTCTTACTTTACCATTTACTTTCTACACCAGCTGGAATATCATCAATAGTATGCAATCTATAAAAAGTCATCCACTGTGGAATTAAGCCTTGCTATTTTGATTAATATCTACAAGTTCTTAATACCAATGGAAATGAAGTGCATGTAATTTTTTTGACCAGTAAACCCTACAAAATAAAATGAACAGTGCCAACAGAGTTTCACATTGTAACTGACTAGAGCATATCTAATTATATAAATGCTCATAACAAGACTAGACCATAGAAGAACTTTGTGTAAGGTGAGAAAATAAAACTTAAAGAGAACACCAAAATGCTACATTGCATGGAAGTTTGAGTGTTACATGGTATACACAATATCAAATGAGTAAAAAGTACATAAGTGTATGAATTTATTTTAGTTAGAATCATATCTCTGTATTTTAAACAGGCATTCTGAAAATGATATAATTTGCAGCTATGTTACTTGGATATGTTACTTGGGTAACAGTACTCCATGGTAGCTATACCATTTCTGTCATTACATACCTATATTTTGGTATGGTTTATAAAGAATTCTTAGTTTACAGATTTCCAGGTCTCGTACTATAACCTTTCTCACTCTGAAATTTCCTCTTGTGTTTGTATGCGTGTATGGTGCACACATACACATTCATACATGCACAGAAGTATTTCAAGAGCTGTTGACAGAGATTAAGAAGTAGATTCTGTAGATTTTTGTTCACTCTGATTTCCATTAAATTTTGATTAAAAGAGTAACATAGGCCATTTGCTAATCTCCTATGAATTATCCCTATAATAACTGAACCTAAATGTTAATTGGCAAAATGCATTCAATTGATGTTTTCATTTTAAATAGTCCAGCTGATTAATAACTATCTGTAAGTTCTGCAGTGATTCCCACAAATGAATAAGGACAGTTGTACTTTGTTAGAACGTCCTCAGCAACCTTGCAGGTGTAGCACTTTCAATTTTATACTGATCTTCATTTTGTACCATTTTTATCCTAAAATATGAAGAACTGCTTCCTGGTCCTTTCCCTGCACTTGTACTAGCATATTCACATCTGCTTCACAAATATATTTGCTTCTAAAGAACACAGTGAGGGAGTGACAAGACAAGACATATGTTGAAATGCGCAATTAATACAGTTTTAAAGTATGTGATAATGGATGTTCATGTCTTCTGCAAGATGCAATATTTTTCTTGTATCCCTGTAGTAGTGCTTTTAATTTTTTATTTCTTAAATTTTTAAATTTTTTAATTTCAATTTTTCAAGTGCAATGTCAGTTTAGCAAAGAGGAAGCAGAATAAATCTGTTTCCTTACTTATGGGGAGAAGAATTTTAAATTTCAGGAAACTTGGTACAAGAACAAACATCATCCATACTAAGTTTGTGTTTTGCATTATCTGATTGTCTGCTTCAGCCTGTTTCTTCTGACTTATGGCCTTTTTCTCTTTTTGTATTTCTGTCAACAGAAAGCTGACCTTGCAGTTGCACCATTGGCAATTACCTATGTTCGTGAGAAGGTCATCGACTTTTCCAAGCCCTTTATGACTCTTGGAATAAGTATTTTGTACCGCAAGCCCAATGGTACAAACCCGGGCGTCTTCTCCTTCCTGAATCCTCTCTCCCCTGATATCTGGATGTATATTCTGCTGGCTTACTTGGGTGTCAGTTGTGTGCTCTTTGTCATAGCCAGGTAACATGTCAACTTTTGTGATTTTTTTGGCAATTGTTACCATTTTTTTCTTACTAATAATTGTCAAAAGTCACAAAACTTTTCTTACTTTCGTACTCATATATTTAAACTTCATGATTTACAGAAGAATAATGATGAGGGTTCTCACCATTAATATTCTCCACTGCCATACTAAGTCTCCAGTTTGTTACTGGACTTTTCCCCTAAGTCTTCAGTATGCTAGCTAGATTAGTTCCTTTATTTCCAAGTATAGAGACACTAGAAAGTTTTTAAAATAGCTTTTCCCAATAAGACTGCATTTATAAACCCAGGGTTTGCATGTTTTATTTTGTTACACTGATTTGTTTTTATGCTGTGGTGCTCAGTCTCAATTTGAGTACTTAGCTGCCCATGCTAATATGATTTACAGAAGAATAATGATGAGGGTTCTCACCATTAATATTCTCCACTGCCATACTAAGTCTCCAGTTTGTTACTGGACTTTTCCCCTAAGTCTTCAGTATGCTAGCTAGATTAGTTCCTTTATTTCCAAGTATAGAGACACTAGAAAGTTTTTAAAATAGCTTTTCCCAATAAGACTGCATTTATAAACCCAGGGTTTGCATGTTTTATTTTGTTACACTGATTTGTTTTATGCTGTGGTGCTCAGTCTCAAATAGAGTACTTAGCTGCCCATGCTAACTCTAGATGTCCAAACTGGACCTCTACCAGTTGTAACAGTTTGTGTATCTTTGAAATAGGATAACAATATTTATTTTTAATTTTCTGCTAGTTGAAATCCCTGAGATACAGAATTTAAAGTCTCTGAGTGGAATGTTTTTGGAAGCTTAGTTGAGCTTTTAGAATTAAAGAACTTGATACATCAATTGTTAAATTATAAATTGATTTTATGTATAGGGCTCACTTTTTTATCTGTTCTTTTTCAACCCAAATGAGCAGAAAACATCTTTTGTCAAAAAATCCCAATATATTTACCATTTTCGTCTTTACTCATTAGGGATGAATTCAGATGCTGGCATCAATGCAGACTTACATGTAGCTTTGGTGTTTGTCATGACAACAAAAGAAAAAGCTCAGAGCAGTGTATAAAATCTCTTTTCCCCTTCTAGTCACTTGCAATTTTTTTAAAAAAATCAAATGTACATTAAATATATTGCCTTTTATCTCTTTAATAAGTTGGGGTCTTTTTGTTTGAGTTGATAATGAAATCTCACTTCAGTCCTGAGATTTCTGTGATTTCATGCTGTGGTTCACAGTAGAATCTTCATATATTCCTTTTTCTATTGTGTTGTATTTAGTATCAGGATTCTCCATCTCCCTTTGATACTCTCTGTTTCATTTTGGAGAAGTTGAATCATTCCTATATTAGGAAGAAGCAATATTTTTAGAAAGCAGTTTAAAGGTAATTTAACACCTGTAGATGAAGTACCTGCAGTATTGAAGTAATATAGATAAAACTGAAACATATTTTGTAATGAAAAACTTTACTGTGTATGTTTTTGAAAAGTCTGCTTTAAAGAGCCAGAGTTATGATAAAAGTTTCTTGAAAGACCCCTATTTTAGTGGACTATATAACCAGAGTATACAATCTTTTCTGAGGTGTACCAGAGACTGCAATAGTTTCTGAAGTGCCGTACAGATACCTCTGAAAGCACAGCCGAGCATAAATCACAACTGTTATCTTGTGAAATGCCTCATGTGAAATATTTATGCATATGTCCGAAAGTTTTAACCCTACTGTTATCACTGAAGGACATATTCAGCATGATGCACAGTGCTCTTGACAGGTAACTCCCACTAATGTTAGTAGGATTGGTATGGCCGAGTTCCTACTTATGCTTTGAGAATGTGCTTTGACATGTTTTTTAGGAAAGATGGATTTTCTTGAAGACTTTCTTTCTTTTTTTAAAAATTAAGCTATTTGGCCATTTCAGCTCACTAGCAGAATAAGAAGGAATATTTATTTTCATATAGAAACCCCAGATAATATAGACCAATAATGCTGACATTTTTTTCACTTTTTTATTTTTGTGACAAGCACCATAAATTCCTTATGCAATTGAAGGCATTATCTTAATTGTAAAGCAATACAGAAGTGGTTTTTATACTGAGCAGAGAAGTTTTGTTTCTGTACAATTGTATAAGATGTCTTTTTTGCACATAAATTTATGCTAGCCTTCATATCTAGAGATTTTCAATACTTCTTAACTGATACAGACAAATATTGGTAAGGCATTTAGAAATAAAAGATGTAGGGTTATGTAAGACAATCTACAGATTTTATTCATAATGCAGAATGACTTAATAGTGTGCAATAGCCTTTTGTATCATTATTGCTAGTAAAAGGAAACAGGTTTAAATTAAAATTTGAATTTCCTGCTGAATACTAAGCAGAAACAAAGATCACTATTCAAAAGTTAAAGCCTGTTTGCAAATACAATTCAAAAATTTTATCTGTCATGTAAAGAGAGATACTTTAAAGTGTCTTAGTGAAGTCAATTTGGCAGCATAGTGGTATGTATTTTCAGTACAGATTATAGGTTAGGTATTGCACAGCTGATACCTTTTCCAGTCCTGGTGTCGTGAAACTCCTGGACTGCATGCCACTAGTTTAATAGGGTCTACCCAGAGTTTCTTATAAAGAAGATTTATATTCCATAACAATCCTTTCATAATGGATGTTTAAATTAGCAGTGTTTCATAATAATTACTTTGTGTTTCATAATAAGGTGTGCTTTTGTTTGGAGCAGTGCTTAGTATGTCTTTTGTGATATAATGTTTTGTAATTACAGCTCATCAGAATGTTCAGTATAGAATATTTATTTTAAAGTTGAAACCTCCCATTTTTGTGTCAAAGGTTTTGTGGTGTTATTGTTTCAACATGTCTTCCAAACAATGTTGACATGTAAGAGCTTGGTACATTGAAAATGGAAAGTACCATTTTATTGTGTCTCTTGGATCTCACTCATTAATTAGTGGTGTTGTGATATTAAAGGAAAGATTAAGAAATTAGCAAAAGCTTCAAGAATCTTTAAGAATGAATTGTTTAAAATACTCCCATAGACAGAGAAATGTAACATAAATCTATATCAGTCATTTTCTTAATTTGCAAGAGCACTGGCTTTTCCTTCCAATTTGAGAACGATATATAAAGTACTGTAATCTTCACACACACAACAAGACAAGAAACTAGGAAAGATTTATGTGTTAGCTGGAGGGCTTTTCTATTTCATTTTCCTCTTGTAGTTTCCCCCAAAAGACCGTTCTACTTTTGAACAGACAGATTCTGCATTGCACCTCTTAATCTTGTTTGTTGCTGTTGTTGAATCTCAACCGTCAGTAGTTAGGACGGTTAGTCTCTGGAAGTTCCTTGCTTTGTTGTACAGACTGATGAGTGATATATAAACCCGGTCTGCTTGACACTAAGCTTATTCATTTTCTGTGAACTGAGAATTTCATATAGTATTTTTTCCTGTTGTGGCAAAAGTAATAGATCTTTCTGGTGCTAGATAGCATTGTCTTTTTGAGTCTGCTAGCAGTGTCTTGTGTCATCTGAAATCCTGCTGCATTCAAATACCATATCTTTATGCCTCTGCCTTTACTAGTTTCTTTGATTGAGAATATCAGTTAAATTCACTTTAATTCAGTTTAGGTATGATTAGAAGGAAAACTAAAACCTCAGTAAAGCACACCAACTGTTTTTTGGACTTCTGTCAATTACACATTTTCTGATCTGTGTAATCAAAAATCTCAATTAGTGGAATTTCTTTTTATTTCTGTCTGTTGCTGCAAACCATTGTACCATTTCTAAGAAACATGCTGTTTTCTTACAGTGTTGTGTATCAACTTCATAGACACATGTTGTCCCTTCTTTTCCATCAGTCTATGTGCAAGAAAAAGATGCTTCCTATTTTTGGCCTGCAAAATCTAATATATTGGTTAGTGGAGGATCCTTTCTTTTCCATGTAGGCATTATGAAGAAAAGCAGTTTTATGCTTTGAAAAATGCTTAATGTGTTTTATTTACATAGGTCTTCCTATAAACTACTTTCAAAGTTAATCTTCAGCTGGGTTTTCTTATGATGATATTGCATTTTTGAGTCTCATGAATAATTTTAAACTTCCATGTTTCTTGTATCTTTTCTGAAAACATAGATTGGAGACTAAATTCCTTAAATATTTTTATCAAATAATTTTATGCCTAATTTACTGAATTTCAAGTTATTCCCTGAACACTGATGTATTTCTCTGTGTAGTAAGGTCTTTTTGTTGCTATGGACATATCAGTCTGCCATAAAGAAATTTACTCTTAAGTGACCTATCTTCAAAACTGGAAGAGATAGAGCTGCCTTAGTAAGGTACTTCCCTTTTACTGATCACATATGAAGCAGATAACCTGTCCTGGATAAAATTGTACACTATTGAGCTCTTGTGCTTTTCACACTGAGCTGTCCAAAGTATCAGTGACTATTGTGGAAATATACATTAAACTGCCATAAATATTAATTTTGAATCATGGGTTGTCAATTTAAAGGGCTTTTTTGCCTTTACTCGTAACACATTTTTATGCCAGGACTTCCTGCCTTATCCTCCTTTTGGAATTATGCTATTCTATGTCTTCTAAGTCAAGCCCTTGTGCTGCTCCCAGCTGCCAAAGCATTTGTTATCACCTATTTTTCCATTTCCTTGTAAGCACTGATTAGAGCACAATGAACATTGCCTCATCAACAGACTATATTTTTCTCTTACCAACTGGAATAAAGCATAATTAAATAAGACAAGTCCTAAAAAGTCCCCACACATTTATCTTACTATTTTCTCTGTGAAAAAGCTTGGGAATAGCCTGCTGCTTCAGAATGTAACAGATGCCTGGGCATTAAGTCTCTCTGGAGTGCATGTATATCCTTTTACATCTCATCTGTCTTCATTTTTATTTTATATTTTTGATCAGCTGATTTCTGTCCTTAACCTTGCTTGACTGATTTTGAAACTACTTCTTAA